CCCAAAGAGCTGCAGAATCAAACTCCATTATCAGAAATCAACAATGCTTCCCTACTTCCAATGACACCTGCCATCTGTAGGAATCTACATCCAGTACTGTACTTACAGGTTTTTCTTCTGTAGAAATAACAGCTGTATCCCCATAGTTTGGATTCTTTCTGGGCTCCCAGCAATATAGCTAGTGACTGTATTTTGTTTACCTTGTTACCTGGCTATCACTGATCGTGTATAGTACTTCTTTCATGGAACACTATTCATTTCTGCAAAACTCCTACTTTATTCAGGGTCACACTTGACCTTTTCCCAACATTCAAGACTAGTTCACCTACAGTGTCTAGTTAAAATTTCCAGGAAAAGATCTTCCAATGTGATGCAGTACTAGAAATCCAAATCACTGAGTTAACCAATACATGTGAAAGCAACAGTACTCAGTATAAATTACTAAAGCTGAATTTTTCTATAGGTTAAATTACATGTTTTACACATTGTTAGTACATATTTACCCAAAGACTTCATTTAATTGAATTCTCTGGAAAATGCATTATTGGAATCACATATATGAGATTTAAAGTACATAAGCAACTTAATCATTCTCTTTCAATAGTGTATGTGTAAACACAAGCTATACTAAATTGATAAATTTCTCAATATTAAATTAAATCATTATAGTGGAAAGCCATCATCAACTGTTATTGAAGCAATCCTTGTTCTGTGTTGTTCCAAGCATTGGACAATCACCATGCTAGCATTAGATGAGTGCCATAAATCAATATGAATCTTAAAAGGCCCAAGAAATCAAAGTTAAACACAGGCTGCAGCTAGTTTTATACAAGGCTCAGAAACACAAGTGCATAGAAGACAAAATCCACGTTGTAGTCTGTTACCTTCAATACCTTCCAAAAAACATTTATTCTACTTTGCAAAAATTATAAAACTCTAAATAGCCAGTCTTCAAATACTATATACATCACCTAAGTTTTAAATTGATAACTTTCAATCATAGCGGCATATGAGAATCACTTAGCTTTAAAGAAAAACATACCAGAGTTGTGACCCACTCTGAGATTCTGATTTCACCACTCTGACACAGGGCCATGGCAGTGATCTTTTTTTAAAAGCTCCCCTGGTGATTCTAATATGCAACCAGGTGGAGAACCACTACTTTAAACCAATGCTGCCTTTTGGTACAATAATTGCTCCAAGGTTGATAAACACGCTTTTTGCCTTTTAATGAGATTTTAAAACTACTCAGTTCATTCCAACAACTAATGAGTGACAATTATATTGCAGGAAGTGTGTTAATGGAGACGTAAGATACTTTCCTTGCCCTCAAGAAGCTCCCTATTAGCTAAGTAGAGAGATCCATAAATAAGTAACTGTAATTAAATATGATAAGTACTCTTGAGGTGTTAGGAAATACAGCATGCCTCATAAACTTACATGTCATCCTTGAGCAGGGGTCATTCTGCATCATTCCAATTTTAGTAAGTGTCCTACTAGAGTTTGAAAGTCAGAAGTTACAGGTTGCTAAATATTTTAAATGTGTTCAGCCCACACAAGGTGAAAATGGTGTGCATTTAGTTATTTCTTTTCACAGAAACTGCTTTACCAAAAGTAGGCATTTTTCTGCGTGATAATCTGGACAAATCTTCTTAAAATTTCCTTCATGTAATATTACTAATTATACGCTTACCTACAGAACTATAAATCTTCAAAAGTTACAGAAAATAATCATAACATAAAAATTAGTCATTAATCTATATTTGCATCATAATACCTTTCAAAAGTTTGGGGACTACTATAAGGTCCCACTATTGGAGATCCTTGAAATATGTTATGGAAATAATAGGCAATCAAAAGAGCTCCCACTAAATTTTGAAAAATAAGAAACATGGGACTGGGGGACAGAGTTTTAATTTTTTTAAAAAAAGGAAATGGCACCCTCCTAATTTTCCTAATGAATCAGATGCATGATTCTCTGAAAAATGGCTTTATCCTTATGGTTAAAAACTGTAGCCACTAGAAGGAAAACATATACCACATAATGATCAACTTTTAAATCTCCTTTACTCAAGTTCTCCTTTTCAACCAAGGAAAACACATAATCAGGGTCTAGATTAAACTAGAACTCTCTTTTACACCTTTGTACCACAGCCAAGCATATAGGGGATGAGTAGATAAGTGAGCAGGTGGGTAGTCAGGGGAGTGAGTAGGTGATCTATCAGTCTTGAAAAGTAAAATCTACTGTAAAGTGCCTTACTGAAAATTTAAATCTATTAAGAGCTCATGGTTAAAAAACAATTTGTGATGCTAATTTGATATAAAATAAAATAAAAATTCCATACAACCTGAATAGAAATCCAAAAGGTTTCAGTGTAAAATCTCTTTTAAGTTGTCTGCAGAGTATCTTTAAGGCCTTTCTGTTTAAATTCACAATTCAACAAACTCTAAGTTAAAATGTATGCTGTCAAGGTCCCTGCAAAAAATTTCAAATGAATTTCAGTTTTCATATCAATATATACTAAGACAATGTACCACAGAAACCTTTACACAGGATGAGGAACACTATTATTGCATTCTTTAACACTAAGGCTATCTTGCATTCTTTATTTCAAGGAATGGCATTTTATAAATGACACTGGCCATGTCAGATTTTTTAGGTTACAAATGAGCTGAAGGTAGCCACAGAATATCTATCACCTCAAAATTAACTTGCTTTCCCCCCTTATGCATCTGTGAACCGAAAAGATAAATTTAATTCTACCAGAGGTGATTCTTGAAATATTCTCTATTATAAGTCAGCACAATAATGACTGTGCTAATGTGATGCTGATCACTTTTCGAGATCCAGAGATCCTACTTTTACCCTTCCAGATCTTAAAGAATCACAACTAGTTATCAAAATTGATTCATTGATGGCTATTTTTCATCATCACAGTATAATTAACATTTTAATATCATCATTGTCCAATTATGACTTTCCTGGTTCATTTACATCAGCTATAAGACACAACAAACATCATTCACTCACACACTGATTCAGTCATTTGCAGGTTTTTGAGAAACACCTAATTTACCTTAACTGGGAGCTTCCTAATCTTGAATAAACCAAAGAGATATTTGATATATATTCTCTCTAGAACTGTGCCATTCACATTCAGGTGCTGTTGAGCACCTGAAAGGGGCTAGTCTGACTTAGAAGTTTAAATTTAATTTTAGTTTATTTTAATTTAAATGTGAAAAAACACTCAATTTATTTATTGCAAAACTTTTACATATGTTTGTAACAACTTGGGTATGTGAATTCATGAAACCTAAGTACAAATTAGGTATTTCTGATGAAAATTTATCTTAGTATTAGAATTCAAATGTGAGCTGTTAGTGTAAAACACATATTGAATTCAAAGACTTAGAAAAGATGTACACTATCTCAATATTTTATACTGATTACATATTGAAATGACAATAATTTGAATCTATTGGTTTGAAACATTTCTTAAAAATTAATTGCATTTTTCATTTTTAATCTTTTCAATGTGACTACTAGAAAATTTTAAATTTCCATATGTGATTCTCATTATATATCTTTTGGATAGTGCTGCTTCAGAGTACTTCCACAATGACTTTACCAGACACATTTGGATATCCTCTTCCTAACAGACAGGCTGGTCACTGAACAATAGGGGCAAGGAGTAACATGTCCACGTAGTGGCTGAGTCTGAGTAAAGTGTGTAGCAAGCTTTACCGACAATTTCAGCATATGAGGCAACATTATTATACTTCAATATGGAAGAAAAAGTGAGTTATCAGCACTCAAACAAATTGAAATTGAGGACTGCAGACAACTTAAAAGAGATTGAGCCAACTGGTCTAAGGTCTTGGTTTTATTTCCCAAATGCGGCCCTTAAAATAGATAATAAAGCACGGTTTCCCCTCCAAAAAAAGAGGTAAAATATTCCAATGGTGGTATCTAGTAAGTCCTATTAAATAAGTAAAAATTGCTCTTAAATCTTATCTCAACTTCTGAAGCCACAGAATGCACGCTGAGCTAGGAAATCAACTTCAGATTGCCAGTATTTCCCTCACAAGCAAATTAGCAGGATTGTGCACTTGGAATACTGTTTGACAAGAATGAAAAGGAAACTATTCAAAACAGATTTAAGGAATGGACAATTAGATGAGGAACTGCAGATTTAATTCTCAATCAGCACTGTGATTAATCTGATTCCCTGCTTTTCCCTAGTGTAATTATACAACACAGATGAAAGGATGAGCATTTGGACTGTCAGTTCTGTATTCTAGACTAGCCCGGTGACTCAAAGCAGACGGCTCTACCACGCTAACCACCATCCCAACAACAGTGGAAGGGCGCCTCGAGCACTGATTGAACAGTCATTGCATAACGAAGCATTAAAAATTCGGGTGCCCCCAACTCTTTCCATGTTCATATACACGAGGTGAGAAATTTGCTGAAACTGGGTGCACCTCGTCTTATACGACCCCCGCCAATCCGGGCATGGGGTTAACACAAAGGCATCTGTCTAATATCCTGCACAATAGACACACACCCCACAATTAAAAACCTTGGACCCTCTTTCTCTTTCTCTATGCAAGCAAACAAAATGCAAGCCGTTGTATCCGTAAATGGTCTAAGGTACACGCAAGGTAACAATAACCCCAACTGTTCCCAGGAAGCAACTATAAAATAGGTTCTGCCACGTCCCTGTGCAACCGTCAGATAAAATGCGGGCAGCCGGCCCCACGCCTCACGGGGTGGCAGACCTCAACTCGTTGGCCTCAAGGGATCGCGGAGAACCCCCCAAAGCCCCTCCTAGCAGGAGATCCAGGTACGCGTCTATAAATACTCCGGGGTGAGGAGGACGCGGGAGGCAGAGGGTAAGGAGGGAGGGCAGGGGGCAGGCCCGGAGCGGGTGCGGGAGGACGCGGGCATCACTGAAATGCATTTTTCCACACTCCCGCTCCCTTGCGTGGAGACTTACTTGCCGATCACCTCGCACAGCTCGTACACATCCTCGAACAGCACGTCGTCGTCGGCCATGGTCCGGAGGGGACAGCGGCAGCAGCGTGGAGGGCTCCGAAAACGAGGGTGGGGGCGCCCAAGAGCTCAGAGCCTGGCCCGGGGTTCGCCTCCTCCCCTCAGGACCCGCGAGTCCTCGGTGCTGAGGGCGCTCGAGTGGGGCGGCGAGGCCCGGAGACTGCGGCGCCTTCCTCTGCAGGCGACCACCCCGGCGCGGGCGGCGGGACCGGGGCGTGGGAGCGAGGGCGGCCCGGCCCCGGCGCCGCCCGCCCGCCCGCTGCTCCTCGCGCTGGTCGGGCCGCGCTGCTGGGCGTGCGGACCCTTTGGGACCGCGAGGTGCCGCGCTCTCAGCTCGTCAGCCCAAGCGGGCCGCGAGGCCGCGACCGCTCCCTCTGCCCGAGGCCGGCTCCGGCGCGGCTCGGGGCAGCTCAGGCTACAGGGGGGGCCGCGGCAGGACCATGGAAGGGAGGATCGCCGCGGAGGGAGGTGGCGGCGGCAGATCAGCACTGGGGACCAGGAGGCGGCGGCAGAGACGCTCCCTCCTCCTACTCCTCCTCCCGCCGCCGCCCGCCCGGCAGTGGCAGTGGGAGGGGGCTTCTCAGGACGAGCTCTCAGGGCGGGCTGGAGCCTTGGCCACCGCCTTCAGCCCCTCCCCTCAGCCTCAGTCGCCGAGCGGCTCTGGGCTCTGGAGCCCCGCGCTCCAGCCTAGCGCACACTCGCTCTCCTCCCCCCTCGGCCCGCGCGACGGCCGGATCTACAGGCCCCGCCCACCGCAGCCCGTCGGGAGGCGGTGGCCGGGGGGAACAGAGACCGGGGAGAGCGGCGCATGCGCGCGACGCTGGCCACGTCACAGTGCACGGGCGGGCCGCGGAATCTAGAGGGCGCGGGGGTTGGCGAGTGGGGTTTGCTGGCTGCAGCTGCTGAGGCGGGGCGGGTCGAAGTCGTCCCCTCCTTGCCCAACCACGACTGAGCCGCATAAGAGTCCAGGGACAAAAGGTCCCAGGTCCCATGCAGGTTCTTCAACGAGATGCTCAAAACTCCTACCGCACTCTCCCTTCTTTTGTAATGACAGAAAGCCTTCCCCAGTTTTTGCTGGGAAGAAAGGCAGGGAAAGGGTGCTAATGAATGGGAAAGCAAGAAAAGAGGTGGAGAGAGGTTGTCACTCAAGACCGTGCTTTTGGCAGTGGATGCTTTTAGTGCCACCGTCATTGCTTAGTGAAGACGAGGGCTAGGAGAGGGAGGTCGTCCTTAGAAAAAGACCAAAGGAAGACTGTCTAGGAAGATTTGCGACAACAAAACCCGGTACCTAGAGAGACAGCTTCTCCCGCGTTCTGCTCCAAACTTAACAAATATCTATGCAGCGTGTGCCCACACTAGAAACAACCTAGAAAGAGGTCGGAAAAGCAGTGACATAGCAAGACTTTAAGTCCCTTTGTATGTTATCCACAAGTCCCCAGCACCTATCCTGCTCTCTGTGTGCCCTAGGAACGTTAGACTTGCCAGATAAAAATGCAACTAGGGGGAGTAGATGCACTGGGTCAGCCTGAGAGTGAGGTTGTGGGTGTTGCCGCTGTGCTAGGTTGCATTCAATATGAAGATTTCTGTTCAACTGAGCATGTGCAGAGTGAGCCAACGCCATCAGACAGGTATATGCCTCAGTTGAAGACCAATAAAAAAGTCTTTGTTCCTCTGCACAGTAGAAATGCCCAATTAATTCATAAGTTAGCTTCCCAAAATCACCTGGTAAAATTTTCAGTAGGGTGCTTTTTTTAAAATAGGGTTTACCAAAGTGGAGGGGGCAAGGGTGGAGACTCACAGCCTATATCCTCCTCAGAAATGTTTCTTGCAAATCCTTGACCACTTCTTCAAGAGGCTGAGACATTTGTTAAGAATTTGGGTACTGAAACTTAAAAATGCTCATCAGAGACACAATATAATTGCATAAGAAAAGTTTCCTCCCTTTCCTAGACAACTTGTGCATTCTTTAGAGAAGGCGGCTTCGGAACTTGAGGAACATTACATTCTTTGAGTGTTCAACAGTTCCAAGTCACACACCCTGAAGTAGCATGTTCGTCTCATTCTGGTGTATAAGGCATCACTCTGTTCTGTCTTGAAGTACCCAGCGACCCTCCCAAGTCACCTTGGCACTTCATTTCTTTTCTCTGGCTTACATCTGATCTGTGCCAAAACTTGTCTGATTTCTTTTGTGGTTTATCTTTCACAGGGATCTAAGGGTAGAAAAGGATCATTATAAAGTAAAGCAGAAAAGAAAATGGAAGTGGGAAGAAAGGCAATTGCAAAGATGATGTGTTCTCTGCTCATAAAATCACACTGGTTTTGATCTGCAAAGAGCCTCTGGGGTTAGCTAGTCCAGCTGCCTCTTTTGCAGATGTGGGGATATGGAGGTTGCTTTCCTAAACCATGAACCATGTCACCTCCATACTCTTTAGTGGAAGCTCTGGGTTTAAGGTAGGATCATAACCTTCTGGAGGGGAGTTTTTACCCCTTAATAAACGTGGTCACCTTGTCACAGTGATTTCTTTAACTTAGTCAGCTCTTAAGCATTTCCTGGTCACATTCTTTGAATGATTCAAGGTCTTCTGATCAGCACAAACTTCAGGATTTCCCTCCTAATCTGAATTTAGATCTCCCAGCTCTCAGTATGGTATCTAATCTCACTGAAGATTCTCTGCAATTTACAACTCCCAGAACTTGTAACACGGATAATGACTAGTGAATGCTCTTCTCTGCTTCTAGGACCAAAGTAACCAAACCTTTTTGGGTGGGTGGGACTTTTTAAAATTTTATTTTAAAGAGAAAAAAAAAACAGAGAAAAATAAAAAAAACAGTCAAACAAAAAACAACAACAAAAAGCCAAACAACAACAAACAACAGTGACATAGGATTTCAAAACAAGATGATAGGAATTTAACAGTGGTTGTTATATTGCATATTGTTATCTTCAAAATAGTTGCTCAGGTTACCACATACAGGCATGAAAAACTGATCAAACAATATGATTTTCCTTTGAGCAGTTTCTGAAGGTAAATATGATCCAAAAGTTACAATAGATATAGTGAAAGGGAAAGTAACCAAACTTTTTAAATGAAGTCTATGTTTCTTCCACAAATCTAGTAGTCTCTTCCAAGTATGAATGGGCAGGTATCATTAACTTAGTTCTGTTTTAGTTTCTGCAAAAGAAACATTAACTAGGTGCATCAGTTAGATTGTGTTCAGATGTTGACAACTAAATATTACCTAACTACGGCTCAAACAAATGAGAGTGGTGTTTTTCTTTTCGTGTAGCAGTACATTTTGTTATCCAATGTACTGATGTTGGATCAGCTACTCTGCTGTGTCATCAGTGACCTAGATTTGTTCTTTCTGCTCTGCCATCTTTGATTGGTTAGTGTCTCAGCCTCAGGCTAGTTGCCTCATTATCATAAGGAGGCTGCTACAATTTCAAGCATCAAAGGTAGGAAGGCCTTAAGTGCAGATGAGGCTTTTGTGTTTCCTGTGGCATCACCTCTTAGGGAAAGAAAGTATTTTTTCCCATCTCACTGTTCAGGTTAGAGTCACATAGCAAGAGACACAGGATGCAGCATTTGACTTTTATGCCTCCTCTTGAAGATAGACAAGAGAGAAATATATGGGAAATGGGTTTCAGTAGCCAACTTGTAGTATTTCCAATCCTAGGAAAGTGACCAATGAAAAAGATCTGTCTGCACTGCAATGTAGATATACCTCTACAGTAAAGTTGATAGGGCTTTAAAAGCTAAGAAATATCTAGAACCCCACAAGAATGGAATTGATGCTATATAAATTTGGTTCTTAGATGCCAGTGCAAATCTTCATGACTTCGAGGTGTTAAAGTTCCTCAAAATTACTTTAGACATCTTTAGGCTGCCAAGTTCTTCCTTAATTTCAGCATGACATACATAGAAAAGGGGAAAACACCCTAGAGAATTACTAGCATGAGGGTCACACAGAGATCAGTGTTATGAGTCTAATTTAGGCAATTTGGAGCTCAGTCTCACTCTGTAGTATGATTGTATAAGATGATAAATTATTACTGAATTAATGAGTAAAATTAAGAATGACACAATTCCCACTGGAATAAATAGTGATTACTCCATGGTATAAACAGAGCTTTCTAGGCTCAAATGAAAGATACTACATATACTCCAGGGGAAAAAAAGCTACATATATTACCCTTGTCTTCCAAGTCCAGGTTGCAAGTTCTTGAATGCGTACATGAGCCAGTGGGACTACAGCTACAAAAACGGCAGGCATGGACTCTTGCCCTCTCTGAGCTTCATCCTAAAAGAAAACAAGGATTGGGCAAGTAATGGAAGAGTGATGGTCATTTGGGATTGGGAAGCATGAGGGAGCAAATAATGAAAGGACCCATGAGTCAAGAAAGGCCCAGCTGGAGAAATGTTTTGACTAAAACAATATAGAAATGATGAGGTGAAAGGAGTGGAGGTCAGTTGATTATTGGTAGAAACAATATATTTCTGAATTCTTGGATATGAACATGAATATGCAGGTTTGGAAGAACATAGTCTTTTGGAGGCAAAGGTCATGCCTGGGTCATAGGTCAGATGAGGTTAGGGAAATAGGCAGGGAGTGTAAGACACCAAATGTCACATAGTTTGCCACTGAAAGTTTGCCACTACCAATTTCAGTGACACTTAAGTCTTCTGTGTAATACTGGGTCCCTCAACTCCATATGTAAACAGAATTGTACCTTTAAATAATTGCTGCTTTTGTACTTGGTGCTTGCTGCCTTGTCTTTCTGATACTTTCTAAAATGCAGATAGGTAGTCCTATAGTAAATATGAACTCATTTAAATTGTTTTCACGGATATTGTAGGTGCCCCATTTAAATTCCTTCTGATCCTTTTACCATTTCCCTGTGACCTAACCCAGTTTTTTCACCATATTTTTGCTTCCAAAGTTCATGCCTATGACTTCAAAGGACTTCCCACAAGCTACTGGAATCATGTTGCAACATGAAAGTACCCGGGAGCTTAAGTCTTCCCCATCTGGCTATTAGCTGTTAGCCAATAACTGATAGTGTAGGAATGTAGAAGACCGACTGGGGAAGGGACAACTCTGCACTCCATAGTGCCTGTGGAAGGTAACCTTTTGTAGGACTTGTACCTGAAATTGTACCCCTTGGTGACTCCCTGCCTTCCCTTTCCTACTTCTTTCTTTCCCTACCCTGAAATGCTTCATTGATATATCACTTGCTCATGAATCCTCATCAGGATTGGCTTCGGGAAACCAAGACTATGACAAGAGTGATTTTCAAAGTGACAACTGCATCAGAGTTACTTGGGAGTTTATGAAAAATATTGATTTCTGGGCCTTATTCAAGAGCGACTGCATCTGAATTTGAGTCTTCTGGAGCATGTCATGGGGCTCTGTATTTTTAAAAATTCCCCAAATGAATCCTGTACACCTAAAAATTAAGAGCCACTTCCCTGATTCTGCCACTGAATAGCTCTGTGAAAAATGCCAAGACTAGCTGAATCACTAGAGTGGAAGAGCCATAAGAAATCCAAAAGAACACTTCTGGGATCAAAGGAAGGACTGAACACAGATGTATTTCCTACCCAATTTCTTCTGGTGCCAGTCCTGTCAACCTTCATCTAAAGATTTTCTGTGCTCCCTTCCTTTAATGTAAATGAACAAGTGACTGGAAACTTTTTTTTGGACAGTGAAAAAAAAAGTTGCC